CAATTTAACTGAGGCTTGTCCCCCATGTCTTTTGTAATGTCTGAAAATGCATTAAATAAGGTCAAACCTAAGTATATATATTTTCCTGCTTTGGTGAGTAAAAACGTAAACATTTAATATTCAGGAGTAAAGAATTCCTCCTGCTGCTCTCAGACGTCTTTGTCTGCTCCGTCTCTATTGTCCCACAGGGGCTCTGTGAGTGAGTTTTCTCTGGTTTCCCACACTCGGCCCATTCACCGCTCTGAAGAACAAAAGAAGTGTGTCTGGTTGCACATCACATTAATTATGGAGTCAGTTTACGAGTTTTGTCTCACCGGCCCTCAATGGACATTCCTGTCATCAAGACTCGTCATTACCAGGCCTTTGTAAAACGCCCATGAGGAATGCAGTCATGCTCTGGATTAATGAACATTCAAAAGATCTTTCTCTCCCTCACGTCCTTTAGATTCGGATTGTTCTCCTGCATTCCAGACGCTTTATTTTGACAGGACGGATAAAAGGGGAGTCCATTCCTGAATTGATCAGATGCTGGTTATGGTGCATGTGGAGGACAATGAGACTGAAATGAAAGAATGTGTGTGAATCAAACTTGACCAGAGACACAATCAAACCATCTTCACCCAGATGTTGATAATCTGTTTTAAAACATTTTTTTATAGAGTTCTGTTTTATCCAGGGTTTAATATTAAAGTCATTTTTTCGTCTGTTAGTTTGAAGGATTCTGCAAAAACTACGTGATGGATTTCCACGAAACTGGGCGATAGGATGTGGTAAGGGTCGGGACCCCATGAAATTTGGTGGAGATCTGGATCAGTAATACTGTTTTCATACAGAATTAGATTTTATTTAGTGACATTTTTCATAATTTTACTTGATTTCTCGAAAAATAATTCAAGGTTCTTGATGAAAAGGGGTCTGTTTATCGGACTGATGATTCTGAGGGTGAGTGATTTGGTGCAGATCCAATCTGGATCTAGTAAATTTAAATGTTGTTTTCTATGACACCTAAAAATTCCATTTCAACAACATTGCCTGAATTATACGTTAAATCTTCCACTATCCCGCTATCATCCATCATCCATCATTCATCCAGCTTATCATTGAGGGCTGTAGTGGACAGGAGCCAATATATAACTAACACTATCTGTGTTAAGTTTAATATGGAATATTAATATATGCTGGTTCAGAAGAACAAGAATGTTAAGTATTTCTCACACACTTGTGCTGCTGACGAGCGTGTGCTCAGTCAAAGTCATTGATCAGCATCAGGCAGCAGATCTGCTCTCCACAGGGTCACCACTTTCCCAGATTCACACAGAGCTCCGAGTCCTCCCCCCGTCTCCCACACCCTCTCCCCTCCCAGTCCTCCACCTGTTCCCCTGAGATCTAACTATTGTCCCTGAGGCATTAACACCATTCAGCATGTCGCTGCTCCACATGCACTATTGTCTCCCCGAGCTCTCTGATTGGACGAGACTGTGAGAAACTGCAGCCAGACCCAGACCCACACATTGATATGGAGATGTGGGACTATAAATAGGAGGGATGAAGGCAGCAGAGATCAGATTGTCTCTACAGAGACCTCTACAGCACAGAGATCCACACATGGCTCCTACAATCACTGCAGCAATGACCGACTCTCAGGAGCATCTGACTCGCAGCCACAAGGTAAATTGAARATTCAAGGAGACGTGCTCTTCTTTCACCAGAGCTTGTGTTTGTTCATGCTCACACTTGACTCCAGAATACGTTGATGACTRACTTTGTYCTTGTCTCTGCAGCTCAGAAAGCCTCTGGTGGAGAAGTTACGCAGAGAGCGAATCAACAGCAGCATCGAGCAGCTCAAGTCTCTCCTGGGTCCAGAGTTCCTCAAACAGCAGCCAGACTCCAAGCTGGAGAAAGCAGACATCCTGGAGATGACAGTTGACTTCCTGACACAGCTGCAGCAGCAGAACCAACAGCAGAGAAGACTGATGAAGCACTTCAACAAGCTGCAGTCTTCSTCTGATGAGAAGCTGAGAGAGGCTGACTTCTCTCCTCTGAGCTCCACAGTCCACACCAGCATCACYAAAGACAAGAGTCYGGTCAACAGCGCCCCCTGGAGGCCGTGGTAGACACCTGAGGACTTTTATCAAAGTGAAGCTCAAGATCAGAAACTCTCCAACAACTGTGCTCGTTCTCGTKGTCATCTCGTGTTTGAAGAGTCATTGCATGCTAATGCAATTTTCTTATTGTTTTTTACTTTTGTAAAAGTTAAATTGTGTTTCTGTGATATTTGCAGACAACAGGTCGACTGCTATTTTAACCGTAGTCACTTATTCCTTACTCAGATGTTACTCTGTGATGTACACGTTATTATTCTCTTTGGGAATGCTTGTGTGTTGTTGCTAACATCAAAGTCTTGTTTTTCTATGTAGGAGACAAAGTTATTCATGTTAAACATGTTTAATATTTTTGTGTGATATTCACATTCTCCACTGATTGAAACATCCTTAGTGATGTGTCTATGAATTTCTCAATTTCCTGTGTTTTAGCAGATGAAGTTTTTGTTTATGAGCAGAAATCAAACAATGTGCTGCTTTATGACTCTGTGAGTGACGGCACCCATACCTTCAGTGAAGGACGTGTGATATGATGAATGTATCTCTTCAAGCCAAGTGATGCGCAATAAAACAATCATAAAAAAACAATAGCAAACGTTTGCTTGTCTCATCTTTTACCTTTTTCATCTGCACTCATATTAATCCAGTGTGTGTCTTACATACTTTGGATAACAGAGGGTGATGTAAACACACAGGGCTAATTGTGACAATATCTTGAAAATATTTTTCAAGGGAAATAAATCAGACAGTCAGAGAGATGCTGACTCAACCATAAATCACACTTACAATATCTATATCAATATCAGAACATTTCTCCTGATAGTGTCAATGAAACAGCGTCTTCTAAAACATGTTATCCTATTAAGGCTGGATGGTAAAATAATATCAGAAGAGAACGTGTCCTGTGTGAACGTTGTGGTTTTAAACTCAGACTGACAAACACTTAATAAACCGATTTACAAATGTGAAGTAGATCAACTGAGTATAACCATTATATTCATATGTATTGAACCTTTGTTGCTATTGATTCAAACTTGTTTTATTGCCGAGTCTTATCTCTTACAAATGGTGATTTAATGATGGAGAGCTGATTCTCCCGAAGATGTTCAGTCCAGTGCAGATGTGGTGAAATCAAAAGTTATGCGACATGATGCCAATAATTTTTGTTCTTGTGAAAATATTCGTGAGGCCCCTGTTATTCAGAGCGTCCACAGTCGTCTCTTCACATTCAGTTTGTCCTTAACCTGTCTCATGTGTGTAGTTGTGTGGCGGCAGCAGTTAGCAGTGGGTGTGTTAGTAATTGTGTTATGTGTTAATTAGCTAAAGGACTGCAGTTGAAAATTTGCCATCTGTGGATAACACTAAATATATATTTAAAGATGTGTTGATTTATGTGTTTTCTGCTTTAAAAATAAATATTAAATATTAAAATAAAATTAGCTTCAGTGAAAACCCCAATCAAGCTAAATGCTTCATATGCCAATTGGGTTATTTTTACAAAATTTAACTGAAATGACTGAACTTCTTTTTTGTTATTCCCCAAATATATTTAAATGAAGTGAGAACATTTTTTCATCTTTTACAATTTATTTCAAAAAATGCAAAAACACCAAAACAAATCTGAATCCACTTTGGATGAATAAAAAGATAAATAAAACTGATGAATCAAACAAAACATGCATACATGGCATACAAAAAAATTATAACAAATCCCTTTTCAGAAGAAAGGTGGGCGTTTAGGAATAAGACACATTAAACCTTGAAACAAGGCAATATCCAAACTGTTTTCACAGGAAGAATACATAGGTTTTATATATATATATAGGTTAACATTGTTGTTTGGCTTCAAACATTAAGCAGATTTTACTGAAAATAAACAGTAAAACCTTCGAGGGTAAAAAATAAAATCCATTAAAAAACAGATTTGATACAAAATATATAAACACCAGCAACTATTTCCTGCATAGTCAACAGACTGGATTTATCTTCAAACTCTACAAATCTCACAAATAGCAGCATACGTTTTTAACAGAAATCCACATCATGTGAGGTGGAAACTTCTTGTGTAAAATATCAGAATAAGGCAAACGATCCATATCAGTCTCCGCGTGTCCACTTGTCATAATGCAAATAATGCATTTCTCTCCAAACATCAGAAATCGAACATAATCAGAGATGCAAGTAGCATCAATAAAAAAGAGTTCAGGGAAAAATCTGCCATGTTGTCCTGCAGATTCAGTGACTTTCTGCAGTCGTCCTCAGAAGCACAGAGGAGCCAGGTCGTCCTCAGCATCAGGAAACAGACGCAGAATGTCCCTGGAGTATTTGGAGTAGCCGCTGTGAGACAGCAGCGCTTTCCTCAAGGTGAGAAGCGACTTGGTTTTCTCCAGGATGTCTGCAACTGGGATCCCACTGTGGAGGTGCTCTCCAATCAGAGCCTTCAGCTTCTCCACTCCAGAGCAGCACTTCCTCTCCAGCATGTGCAGTTTACACCTGAGAGAAACAGATCATGACTTTTATTAATACGTCCATCACTTTGTTCGAAACCACACAATGACACAAAGACAGTTAAAGGGCATTGATGCAGCTTTGAGTTCTTACCTGAAGAGCTGCTCCTTGACGCTGTCCTGAAGAGCGAGGTCTGCGTACAGAGTCATGTCTGAGTTTCTTGTCCTGGTGGAGCTGCTGGAGGTTTCAGGAGATGCCTGTGAAGGTTCAGAGGAGCGTCTGTGTTGACTTCTGCCTCTCTGCTCTGCATTTAAGCTGCTCTCGCTCCGCCGCTCAGCCAATCAGGAGCCTCCGAGCGTCGGACAATGGGGTGAATTTAATGGCTGTCACAGAGAACAGGTGGGATGCTTTATCTGTGTGCCACACATCAGAAAGGTCAGTGGGAAAATGTTTCTCCTGGAGTTGACACGGGAAAAAAAAAAATGTTTCTTGCTGTCGTGTTTGGAGCTGAATGATTTGATGGAGCAAAGACTCTTAAACTGCATCAGCAAATATTCAGTTATTTTCAAATCAGAGCGTTAAATGATGATTTATGAGATAAAACATGAAATTCTGGCTTTTATCGCAACAATTTTACTGCTAATAT